ACCCATCTGTGCTTCTCAGTTCCTTCACCTTTCTTATCCAGTGCATGAGGATTCTCTTTTCTCCATATCTTCACCAGCACTTGTTTGTTGGTTTGTTGATGATAACCATTCGGATAGGGAGGTGATATCTCACTGGAGTTTTAATTTGCATTTCTCTGGTGATTAGCGATGTTGAGAATCTTTTCATATGTCTACTGGTCATCAGTATGTACTCTTTGGACAAGTGTCTATTTAGGTCTTCTCATTTTTTAATTCGATTTTTTTTTTTTTTTGGTGTAGAGTTGTGTAAGTTATTAGGATATTAACTCTTTATCAGATGTATCATTGGCAAATATGTTCTCCCATTCAGTGGGTTGTCTTTTCATTTTGTTGATGGATTCCTTTGCTGTGCAAAGACTTTTTTGTTTGATGTAGTCCCATTTGTTTATTTTTTCTTTTGTTTCCTTTGTTTCAAAAGACATATCAGAAAAAATATTGCTATAAGAAATGTCTGAGATTTTCCTGCCTATGTTTTCTTGTAAGATTTTTATGGTAGTGAGTCTTATATTTAAATCTTTAATTGATTTTGCATTTGTTCTTGTATATGCTGTTAGAAGGTGGTCTCGTTTCATTTTTTTGTAGGAATCTGTCCAGTTTTTCCAATGCCATTTATTGAAAAGACTGCCATTACCCCATTGTATGTTCTTGTCTCCTTTGTCAAGTATTAATTGACTTTAAAGCCATTGGTTTATTTCTGGACTTTCTGTTCTGTTCCATTGATCTATATACCTGTTTTTATGCCACTAACCATTCTGTTTTGATTACTATGGCTTTGTAGTATAGTTTGATATCAGGTAGCATGGTTCCTCTAACTTTATTCTTCTCACTCAAGATAGTTGTTGCTATTCACAGTCTTTTGTTGTTCTGTATAAATTTTTGGTTTGTTTATTCTAGTTCTGTGAAATACGTCATTGGTGTTTTGATAGGAATTGTGTTGAATCTATAGATTGTTTTGGGTAATATGGATATTTTAACAATGTTAATTCTTCCTATGCATGAGCACAGTATATGCTTCCATTTATTTATATCTTCTTCCATTTCATTCTTCATTGTCTTGCTAATTTTTTTGAGTACATATCTTTTACTTCCTTGGTTAAATTTTTTGCTAAGCATTTTTTAATGCAATTGTAAGTAGGATTGTTTTCGTAGTTTGTCTTTCTGATAGTTCATTATTGGTGTATAAAAATGCAGCTTACTCCTGGATATTTATGTTGTATGCAGCCAATTTACTGAATTTATTTATAAATTCTAGTAGTTTTTTGGTGGAATCTTTAGGGTTCTTTATATACAGTATCATGTGATCTGCAAACAATGACAAGTTTTACTTTTTCCTTTCTAGTTTGGATGTCTTTTATTTCTTCTTCTTGTCTGATTGCAGTGACTAGTACTTCTAGTACTATGTTGAATAAGAGGGGTGAAAGTGGACATCCTGTTTGTTTGATTAAGAGAAGGTTTAGTTTTCCCCATCGGCGGTAAGGCTTCGATCCTATCATTTGCTGAGTTTGATTTAAAGCTTTTTCTGCATCTATTGATATTATCATGATTTTCATTCTTCATTTTGTCTATGTGATGTATCACATTAATTGATTTGAATATACTGTACTACCCTTGCATCCCAGGAATTAAAACAACTTGATCATAGTGTATAATCTTTGCAATGTCTTGTTGGATTTGGTTTGCTAATATTTTGTTGATGATTTTAGCATCTATGTTCATTAGGGATATTGGCTTATATATTTTTTTACTTTGTAGTGTCTTTATTTGACTTTGGAATTAGGATAATGCTGGGCTTGTAAAATGAGATGAGAATCTTCCCTCCTCTTAAATTTTTTGGAATGGTTTGAGGAGGAGAGGTGTTCTTTTGAATGTTCAGTAAAATTCACCTGTGAAGCCATCTGGTTTGGGACTTTTATTTGTTGGAAGTGTTTTGATTATTGCTTCCATTTCATGTGTTATACTTAGTCTGTTTAGATTTCTTTTTTCTTCTTGATTCAGTTTTGGGAGATTGTATGTTTCTAGGAATTTATCCATTTTTTCCTGATTTTTCAATTTGTTGGCATGTAAGTTGTTCATATGGAGAGTATGTCATAATAACATTTTTTTCCTGTTGTTATACATAGAATGGATTGTTTCCTTTTAGTAATTGATTCTCTTTCAGAAATCACTTGGGAATTGAGATGGAGGGAAATGTTTTATTCCTTTTATCCAATACAATGAACATATTGAAAATAATAGAAAAACCAAATATTTGAATGCTTTCCTGGTAACTTGCTAGAAAAGCTCTCTATGAGTAGGCCCTGCTGTTCTCTTTCCCACTTGGTAGACCTCTTTCGTGAAACACCCCCTCTGGGAAGTCCCCCAAGCCTCTTCTGCCCCTTCTGCGCTCTGCCAGAACTTGGACATTCCTCTGTCAGTTTAGTCTGTCCACTCCCACATCCAAGCACTTGTAATGCAGAGGAAAGAAAGGAAGAAAAGAAAAAAATTGAAATTTACTGTGGTAGAATTACACACTGAATCACACAAGGATCCAGGGAAAAGGCACTTTGCACTCTCTACCTTGGGGTGAGGGAGAGGTGGGGAATGCTTCTTTAGAGGAAGGAAACTTGGTCCAAGTATCTAGAGTTACTCATGGATCCTTTCCCTCCCTCAAACAATAAGATTTATGGGAAAAAGAAGCTTATTTTGATAATCTCCAGCACCTGATATGGAGGAGGTTCAGTAAACTAAGTTGACCTTTGAAGACTTAAGTCAACAAATGTATAAACATTATTTACTACACAATTTTCTCTACATTATCTCTCGCACCCCTCACAACAGCTCTACAATAGGGCAGATATTCTTATTCCTGGTTTATAGGTAATGAACCCAAATTCAGAGAGATTTAATATTTTGCCAACATCACCCAATGGGTTAATAGAATAGACCTCAGGTATTCTGCACCTAATCTTGTATATTTTTCACTCCTGGAAATAAGTATTTAAGTATGAAACAACTGCTTTGAAATTTGTACTTTGAGGATGAGACATCAGACCACCTGAATGCCTTTCAGTAAGGAAGGCTGTTCATTTACATTGAGTCAAGCAGGAACGTTCTGAACGGGAACAGGAGATGAGCTCTTCCATCACGTTTCAGAGCTCTCTCTACTCCTGCCGGCACAGTGGCTTGTACCCAGTAGGTACTCTGTAAATATTTCTTAAATAATTGACAATGACTTAAAATGTGTAATTCAGAGTCACCTAAATTGGACAGAGTCTGAGGTCCTAAGCTTTTACCTGTAGTCATGTGTCACAGGGGACAAAGTGTGCCTGTGGTATAGTCTCATTTAAGGAATGCTCTTTTCTTAATGCAAGGCCTTTTTAACACAGGAGCTTGGTTTTCTGCGGGGGGGCGGGGGCTTCTTCATTGCTCTTGCACTCGCACCCTTACAACCTGCCAGAAGCACCCCATCTGTGGGCGCTGCCACTGGCTGGCTGTTCTTACCACAGTGCTTTGAGGCATTTTAAAATGGACTTGCTCGTGTGCCTTTTGATGCTTTAAAAACCTTGGACTTCCTTAGTGTGGAGCCTGTGCTAGGCATTCATTGCTTCCATCTCTGACTTACCCATCTTTCATACCATAAGGCATCAGCATCGTCCCCAGAAATACGGCCCGGTGCCTAACTTAGTAAAACTGCTGCTGACCAGGGACGAAGGCGGGGCGTATAGAAGTATGCAGTTACGCATTTCCATGCAGATATTCTGACTCACTTCACACTTAGGTTCCTGAAGGCAGACTCATTTGGTCTGCCCCCCACTCCTTGCCCGCTCCCAGTCCCCACGCCTTGCCAGGGGCTGCCCGTCTGCAGTGGCCGGCTCCAGACCACAAACACCCCCTGACTGCTTGCCCCCTCCTTTGTCCTGTGCATCCAGTCTGTGTTCATGCTCTGTTGCTCTGACCTCTGAAATGTTTCTGAAATCCGGGGATTTGAGACTGTGTTTTCAAACCAGGGGTGAGTGCATCGCCGAATCCCCATTTATAGCTATGAAACCAGGAAAAAGGAACTGAGAGCCCTGTAAGAGTTTACTGTCAAATTGGCGCAAGGACTTGGATTAAGAAGTAAATAAAATTTTAAGGAGATTTCAATGTTAGAAGACATTCTCCCCTGTATACTCGTGTAAGAATGTATTTCACCATCTCTGGAAACACTTGCTCTTTTCAAAACGGAGTCCCCATGTGACAGAATAGACTGTGGGAATTGTTCCACGTGTGGCACACGCAGGGCGGTTGGTACCTGTTTAATGAGCGAGGGCCCAGGCAGATGAGCAAAAATCCAATGGTCATGCTGAGAGGCTCCTGAACTCTGCTCCCGTTTCCTGTTCTTGTGGAACAGGAACCTATTTTTCATTTTGTTTGTGTTTGTTTTTCTAAAAGCGAGATAAATGTCAAGTTTTAGCACCCACCTTTCATATTAATCATTACTAGGGAAACACCATTACATTCGTGCCTCCGGCTATTACCGAATGGCATTTTATTCTGCAGAAAACCCAAGGGAGTGCTTCGGAAAGGGTCTGTAATTGAAGACTCAGTGGTGCTGATTATGTGTTGATGATGTGTTTAAAATGAAAGAAATGGATGTCAGGGGCATGTGGACTTCAAGCTCATATTCTTATAGTGCTACTAATGTTCCAGAACTCTATAAAGATTCTTAAGATTTTTCCTATCTACTGATTGTCTTACGCTGATGTTCGCCACATTTCATAAAAGTAACATCATAGTGTTTACCCCAAACTTACCCTTTTACCCGTAGAAGAGTAGAATAGCATAACATTAAGGCTGTAAACCTTCAAGTACAAAGTAATGAAGCCAATGATTTTTTTTCTCAATTACTCTAGTGGCTTATTCTTGCAAGAGAGTTTTGTTCTGTCCCATCCTAAAGCAGTGAAAGACAGAGAATAACCTTATTTGCTGTTTCCGTTTTGCAGGGGAAGATGGTGAAAGGAATGGGAGGTGCGATGGATCTAGTGTCTAGCGCCAAAACCAAAGTGGTGGTCACCATGGAGCACTCTGCAAAGGTAACATGCTCTGCCTTCGGAAAGTCACAGCCTGCAGAATCCTGGGCACCAGGAGCCATGACCATGGTTTTTCTTCGGCGAATTCGAGTTGATAGCACTTGTATTTTGAGAGAAAGATTACAGATAAAGGCAGTTATTTATTATCATTTAGTTACACGGTTGTTTAACTTTGAATGAAGCACAAATATCAGGGCATTCTTTAATTATTTACTCTGTATACACATTTTGTGTTGATTCAGTTTTAAAAATGATTATAGTGGTTGCTCTCTGTGTGAAAATTGAAAAACAGCAGAATATGGGTTTTTTAACAATTGTTCTTTTCAAATGGACAATATAGCCTCTTACGAAGGCTAGGAGGTGCCATTTTGAGACGGTGTGAGAAAATTGTGGACTTGGTGATAGAAATAGCCCCGATTCTGAAAAAGTACGATGCTTTTAACAAATTATCAAATATTGAGTGCCTAGTAAGTGCTAGGCACTGCTAGGGTTTGGCAGTGGCCAAAAGTAGACACAATCATTGACCTCACGGAGCTTACATTTGATGATGATGATGGTGGTGGCGACGATGACGGTGATGATGATGATGATAGTGGTGACGGCCATGATGATGACGGTGGCGGGGGTGGTGACGGCCATGATGATGATGGTGGCGGGGGTGGTGACGGCCGTGATGATGATGGTGGCGGGGGTGGTGACGGCCGTGATGATGATGGTGGCGGGGGTGGTGACGGCCATGATGATGGTGGTGGCGGTGGTGGCGATGGTGGTGATGGCCATGATGATGGTGGTGGCGGTGGTGGTGATGGCCATGATGATGATGGTGGCGGTGGTGGCGATGGTGGTGATGGCCATGATGATGGTGGTGGCGGTGGTGGTGATGGCCATGATGATGATGGTGGCGGTGGTGGCGATGGTGGTGATGGCCATGATGATGGTGGTGGCGGTGGTGGTGATGGTGGTGATGGCCATGATGATGGTGGTGGCGATGGTGGTGATGGCCATGATGATGGTGGTGGCGGTGGTGGTGATGGCCATGATGATGGTGGCGGTGGTGGCGATGGTGGTGATGGCCATGATGATGGTGGTGGCGGTGGTGGTGATGGCCATGATGATGATGGTGGTGGCGGTGGTGGTGACGGCCATGATGATGATGGTGGCGATGGTGGTGACGGCCATGATGATGATGGTGGCGGTGGTGGCGATGGTGGTGATGGCCATGATGATGGTGGTGGCGGTGGTGGTGATGGCCATGATGATGATGGTGGCGGTGGTGGTGACGGCCATGATGATGATGGTGGCGGTGGTGGTGATGGCCATGATGATGATGGTGGCGGTGGTGGTGATGGCCATGATGATGGTGGTGGCGGTGGTGGTGATGGCCATGATGATGGTGGTGGCGGTGGTGGCGATGGCCATGATGATGGTGGTGGCGGTGGTGGCGATGGTGGTGACGGCTGTGACGATGGTGGTGGCGGCTGTGACGATGGTGGTGGCGATGGTGGTGATGGCCATGATGATGATGGTGGTGGCGGTGGTGGTGATGGTGGTGATGGCCATGATGGTGGTGGTGGCGGTGGTGGCGATGGTGGTGACGGCTGTGACGATGGTGGTGGCGGTGGTGGTGGTGGCCATGATGATGGTGGTGGTGGTGGTGATGATGGCCATGATGATGATGACAGCAATGGTGGCGATGGTGGTAGCTACCGTTTACTGAGCTTACTGAGCGCCAGCATCACACTAGGCACTTGTGTTTGTTTGTACAAGCACATGAACTTGATCATAGGTACCTTTCATGGTTCCAGAAACTGCTTCTGAAAAGTATCTTGCCTGAGGTCACGTAACCAGTGGAACTGAGGGTAGACCTGGGGTCTCCAACTCCGAGGCCCAGCCTTCTAACTGCAGAGCTACCCATAGAGCTTTCTTCCTAATCCGCAGCTCAGGGTGTTTGAACAAGCTGGGCTCAGCCACCTTCCAGACCTGAATCCAAGGGCTCCTGATGATTTCAAAAGTTGCTACTGGGTGGTACTTCATTTTCTATGCGCTTTGTCCATTCTCCTTTATTCTTTATAATTGGTTTTAAAGCAAAATCTACCTGTTCCCACCTTGAGACCTGCCATCTTGAGTGGAAATGGTAGTTATTGGCCCTGTTTTCATTAGTCATGCAGCCCAGTGGGATATCGCAGCGCTGGGAGATCAGCACCTGACTCGCGTCCCACGGGGGAGTTCTGTTACCGGTGCTGTGTGCCGTGACAGGGTTCTGCTGTGCAAACTGCAGTAAAGATGGAATTATCTGAATTGTTTAGTAAACAGTGGAAAGCGAGCGGTGGAACACAAATGTGAAACATTGGAAATGAACCCAACGGAGGTTACTTCTGAGAGATGCCTTACAAAAAAAGCATCCGGAGGAGTTCATTTCAGAGGCAACAGGATGCCAAGTATGCAGATCAAATCCAGCCCTTTTCTGCAACATTATGTCTGTTTGGACAACATTCTTTCTGACTTTCCTTCTGTTGTTACTTTATTGTTGATGCAAGGGCACTGAGATTCGGCTCCTCTCAGGTTATTTTTGTGCATTCGTTTTCAAAACATTACACCTGTATTTAGCAAATTCTTTTTTCTTTTTGTTTCAAATGTTTTAACCCCTCAGCTGGAATTTTTGACAGAGGAAGAGAAATGGTGGTTCACATGTCTGATTAGAAATCCCTTATTAAAGCTTTTCACAGGAGCAGGGCATTTTTTGTTGTTGTTACCATTTCTTTGTCTTCTCACAGTAAGGAAGTAGCATTGAGTTTTAGACCAGAATTGAAGTTAGGGATGTATTTTTCCTTAGATACTTTCACTTGAATAAACTAACAAAAATATATCTGTGATTAAAATAATACTAGTGATTTGTTCACACTTGATACCTTGAAAACTAAGCGAGCGGTTTCCCTTCCGGCCAGCTCCGTTTTTTGCCGGTGCTGCTAGTGTTCTGCTGCATCATTGTCGCTGGCCCAGCTCAAGGCAACATAGCGACTCGCCTGCCTTCGTCCTGCCTCGGTAGGGGCCAGAAAGCAGGGAGAGAAGAGACAAGTTTCTTTCTGTTCTTTTTTTCTTTTTGCTAAGTGAGTGGAGCTGTCAGCTGGTTTTCAGGCACAGCCTTCTTTTTACTGCATCTTAGGAGAACAGATGCAGGTTGCTTATACATAAATATCACCTGGCCTTTAAAAGCATGCTTTTCTCTGTTATTGTCGTTGTTTTGATCAAGGAAAACTTTCCTCGTAAGCCTGTGCAGCCGTCAGCGGCTGCTGGTGGTGGAACCGTGGCTGCTGTAGAGTAGCCTCCGTAACGGTTGGCTGCCTCCTGGCCACCTCTGGAGCTCGGACGGCGGGCACTGGGGTCGCACGGGCATCGCAGCACGGTTTTCCTTTAAGCTTAGACATCAGGGTTGCAGGCAAAGCTGTAAAGTAGGCAAAGGTTTAGGTATCCAGTAACCTTCTTTCTTGAGCTTCTCTTCATCTCTTGGCATGTCCTTCTTCTGCCATCTAAAAATGGGAAGAAAACAAATGAAATGAGGACCAGTTTGAGCCCTTACTAGGTTCAAGGTCCTCTGGTTGGCATCACATATACTGAATCTCATTAGCCTCTCAGTGACCCTGTGAAGTAAGACTGGGACGCAGGCAGGTGAGACACGTGCCTGGGTAAGCGGTGGAGGTAGAGGTCTCGCCCAGTGTGGTCCAGCCTGTGTCCATCGGATCATGTCTGCCTCATCCTCACCGAAGCCACCTCTGCACCAGCATCCTGCCTGCGCCTGCCCTGTACTTGAAGCTTTAGGTTTCAGAATTACCTCTTTTTCTTTTTTCATGTTCCTGGTCAAAGCTCTCCTTGCTTTGGTGGGATAGGTATCAGCAAGGTACTTAACACAATCTGCAGATCTGATTGTGTTTGTTAGCCTCCATCTCCCCTTCTTCCCTCCTGTATTAGCATCGTCCAAGTTTTACCTGGCCACATACACACTAGCCCTGTGACAGGCTACATTGCCCCTACTCGCTTGCATGTAGATGCATCCATGTGACCAAGTGTGGGCCAGTGGCATTTGAGCCTTTGCCAGTGTGTCACTTTTGAGCCAGGTCCTTAAAGATAAAGCCGATTGCCACTGGACTTCCTTGGTGCCACTCCCGGCCCCCTGTAGCAGTAGCGTTGGACGCCACATTGTACACCACGTTCCCAGGCTCACAGAGCTGTCCCGCCAGCCTGGCTGCCCGGGTGCCCTGTCCCCGGCTGTACAGGTTCCCTTTGGGGTTCCTCAGAACCCCCTCCTTGGCTCTCTGCTCTTCTCTCCCTCTGCACCCTTCCTGGCTGCTCTCTAAATTTTGGGCACCAACTACTATTTTGCACTCTGGAATCCTTATTTGCACACTGCACCCTGGTTTTTCCACACCCACCTCTACAGCCGCACATGCACCAGGGAAATCCCTGTCACCTTCTTCCTTCGGCCTGGCCCAGCTACGGCAGCCAGGGCCTCCCAGCCCCCGTCCGGTGCCGTCTGCCCCTGCCCCACACCAGGCACTGCGAGTGCCGCGTCACAGTCGCCCTGCTCTCCTTGTTTGGCTTCTTGTCGCATCTGCACAGATCCCTGTCGCCACGTCCCAACAGCCCCCATGCTGTCGGACTGACCCTCCCTCCTGGCCGTCAGGTGCGCCACTGCCAGGGCGAGCGGCCTCACGCTGAAGCTGCCTGGAGGCCGCGCCACGCAGGTCACGCTGGCCCGCTGGCCTTTGCCCCCAGCTCCCCAGCAGCCTGCCTGCACCCCGCTTCCAGGGCATCAGCCCGCCTACGATCCCCACAAGTGCATTGTGCTATTTCTTGAGCTTGGGTTCCCTTCCCCTTGTGAAGAGGCCGCTCCTGCCTCTCTACACGATCACACATAAGTGAGCCAGCGTTTATGGATGTTGGCTTAGTGCCTTCCATCTGTAGATACTGCGGATGACCAAAGGGATATGCTTTGATGCTTTGTCTTG